CTATAAATTTTATCAGGAAAGTTAAGTAGAGCTCATCCATATGGCCAGACACAAAGTTAAACACGCCTGCTCCACACTGCGCAGCGGTAGTAGTGGTAGTAATAGTAGCAGTAGTTCAAACTCGATTTTATCTCGAGCTTTAAGTAGTATGACCCGATTATGCTCGGACAGAGAGACTTTACGGCTCGATCAAAGTTTCGCCTTCGAATCCATTTATCCTCGCTTGTGTATACATTTATCACTCGTGACCGTCGTCGTACGTGCACCTATGCCATTTTTTCTCTTCCTCTCCCCCACCTTCCCTTCCCTTCTTTCGCATCGATCAAAAGATGTCGCCCCCTCCTGCACACTTTACATCCGTTTCGCGTCGAATTCAATTTTCTTCTTTATCCGTCCCCTCGATCATCGATCGATGCGCGCTAGCAACACAGATAACCGTTCCTATTAAACATCGCAATCACGATCGCGTGTTCACATCGATGTCCGGCTCGATTCTTATGGCCCGTTTAACTTTATCAATCCATGGGGAGGGGGAGGGGAAGATTCGTCGCGTGCAATGTCAATTAGTCTCGCCACCGTCACGATCCTATCTGTTATCAGTTCCACGTGAATCACACTCAACCACCCTTTAACTTTCGAAGGTTGCAACCGAGAATGCAAATGGCTCCGGCCAACGAGTGGCCAACTTTCGCGATAACTTTAGCGGATTCTCGTCGAATGACGTTTCGTCTCTCCAAATCGTTATATCTCTGTCTATAACTAGAAATAAATATATATTGGCCGTATTTTTGATAATATCCTTTGCGCGTTTCCTTCTTATGTTGAATGATTTTTTGAGAGATAAGATAATCCATCATTATCTCCGTTAAAATTAAAAGAAATTTGCAATGCGATTTACAAATTCCCCTGAAAGTTCTCTTCCATTCTTGACGTTATTTTATACAATATCGACTGCGCAAAAAAGTGTTACATTGAGTGATTTTTGAGCTAATTGACCAAGAGAGATAAAATAATTTCAACCATCATCTCCGTTAAAATTAAAAGAAATTTGCACTGTGATTTACAAATTCCCCTGAAACTCCTTTTCCATTCCTGACGATGGAATTGTGCCAATATACAGATGTTACCTTAGATATATAATATCGACTGTGTAAAAAAGTGTTACATTGAGTGATTTTTGGACTAATTGACCAAAGAAATAAAATAATCTCAACTATCATCTCCGTTAAAATTAAAAAAAATTTGCAATGCGATTTACAAACACCCCTCCAAATCTTGTCTTAGACAGTAAAAAAAGTGAGTAAGCCGTAAATTTTGTTTTTTTACCTGTTATTCGCAAATGCTTGCCGCCAAGGCTCGAGGTGTCCGTGGTGAGGATCGGTAATGGCGGCGAGAAGCCGTCGAAGACCTCGATCCGCGAGATGTCGATCCCGCGCCTCTCGCAAGCGGCGTTGATCGCCTCGCTGCAACAAAGCGGCGTTTGTTCACGGCTTGTTTCATAATTTTCCAATTTCGAGCTAACGACGTAGCGGCATGGTATATCAAGTAAATGGAACAACGAGAAGGCCTAGGCGTAATGGCCTCTCCACGAATCCGTATACAGCTAGGAGGTATGTACGATAAGTAGCGTTACAATGCGGCCGTGAAGAGGGAACAATTTTCGTGGCGAGATGCACGTTGTGCAAGCTGCTCGTCGCGGGGAATCGACGCGATATTTGCTCGTTATTTAGAGGTGATTATTAAACGATGTCGCGGGGCGAACTTTTCAGAGGGTTCGTCGGGGCTTGTAACTTTGTTCCAAGATCATTATACGCCTCCCTCCTCGAGACGAAATTCGATATATCCTTGGAAGAAATTGCACGCATCGTTTCTTAACGATTATGTCTGTGAAATCGTATGTTAAGAATTGTACATACTAAGGTTAAAACAGACGAGATTCCGTATCAATCTTTAATGCATATATATATATATTTTAATATGCATACTTGAAATCTTTTTTTTAATTGCAATATTCTACTAATAATATTTGTTTTTCATTTACTTTTACAATTACTAAATATCGATTTATTTCGAAATTTTTGAAGTCGTGACACGAATGTATAACGCTTTTAATTTAAAAAGTTTAATTTAATTTAAAAGAGACGAGATATTTTAATGCGCATACTTGAAATAGTATCTTTTTTTTACACGAATATTTTTATTTGATTGCAATATTCTAGATAATAATAATAATAATAATAATAATAATAATAATAATATTGTTTTTATTTATAATTATTAAATATCGATTTATTTCGAAATTTTTGAAATCGCGACATGTATATAACGCTTTAATTTAAAAAGTTTGGAAATACATTTCTTCCATCGAGTTCGTACGCTCGAAATGAATTTTAATAAAATTTCGATGGCAATATTTTTTTCCATCGATAGTTTATTCATTATTAAACTTTAACTTAGAATTAAACTTACGCCAAGTAAGTGCCTTTAGCAGCAGGCAGAAACTCGTCCCGATCCAGGCCACTCGAATCGTCCGAGAGGTCGAAGCTGACGCTGAAAAACTCGCTGCTGGATACCTGAAAAATTGATTTAAACGATTATTTCGAAGAAATTTATTTACGGCAACAGCATTGGCTCATCGAATCAAGGGTTCGCAACTTGGGATTACGTTACAACGAATTTGAAACGAGAATACTCGAGAACACTAGAGAAAGTTTGATGGAAAATTTGATAGCGTATTTCGGTTCAAAGAATCGAAGAAACTCTTCGACACTATATAATGATTGTAATCGGGACGTGCCCTGGAAATTTGAATTTCTAATGAAAAGGAATTTCCTCTTCGTAGAATTTTTCGTAGAAAATTCATAGAAAATTTTTCCACGAATTCTCGAAAATTTACTCGATGAAATTTCATGCATTAAATCGTCCAATAACTTCGTGTGCTTTTTCTAGATTGGAAAAATATTTAAACAGATTAATTCATAGATGAAGATCAATACAGCAAACAAGTAGGAAGTAAAAAAAATTGATTAAAGAAATATAAAATATGTATAAATACAATCACTTTTTATTTTTATCATTATAATTAATTATGTGGATTAAACATCAAAGAAAATTTTTCCTGTATAATAAATTTGATAAAGAACCAAACTTGTTGGCAAAAAATAATAGCATGTTCTGATACGTTATGCAACGTAAGCCTAGGGAAAATGCTGAGTTCTTATCCGAATAGAGGTTCATGCCTTCGTGCTGACAATGACAGGTAATAAAATGAGAAAGAGCTTTCTCATTTATGGAAGCACATGGAAAATGGGTCGTGTTCATTTGCCATGATCTTTTTGCCATCACATTGTTCCACGATCGCGCGATCTTTCTTTTTCTTCTCCTTTTTTCTTTTTTTCCTTTTTCGACAAGTTTCCAATTACGTTACTGAAAGTTTGCCTCGATAAAGTCTTCGACGAGTTTTAGAAAACGTGACACATTTCGCGACATTTACACGATACATTTACAATTTGTACATATATATATACATTTCAAAAAAGAAAACTTTAAATCAAATAACGTGTATAAATCAAACGTGAAAAATTGAGAAAAAAAAAAAAAGAATTTGTTTAAAGAAAAAAAAAAAATTAAGCATAACAATCCATGTTAATCGTGACACGTAATTAATATTGTGGGAATGTTGTAGATCAGACAAGGATTTAAACTTTTAAGATTTTAAATGAAATTAAATGGAATTAATAATCGAATACAAGTAAAAAAGAAAAATTATTCATTTTCGTGTTATTCTTATTTCATTAAGATTCTTCTATTTCCTTTCTCTCTAATTCTCAACTTTTATTTCCAGATTCGTAACATGTTCGCACGTTCATGTTTCCACGTACCAATTGTTAAAACAAACTCAACCACATTAACGTTGGCGATTATGCTTTTATACACGCAACAATCCCACGGTTAAAAGCATTCGGACCATTACGATTTCTTTACATCTCTAATAGAACCAAGAATCCTCCATTTGCACATTTATCGGTCCATTGCGAGCAATCTCAACTTGTTCGAAATTTTATCATTGCCGTCATGATATTCTCTCGAAGTGGGTTATACCACGTTAAGTTCGCCAGTAGTTGCCAATTACCATTATTATTATTATTATTATTCCATGTTCAAATTATGCAAAACGATCTTCATCGTATTCCTATCCCAATTAATTCATCGGCGGGAATAACGCTTGTGGAATCCAGTGGAATGTGATACGAATGATCAGACAAATCGAACGGAGTCGCGAATAGTTGACTAAGTGGAATAGCGCGAAAATCGGTCGGCCAAGTCGAGCAACACCGCAATTTATTTAACGAAACTACCATTTACTACCACCTTGTATGTATCACTTTTACTAACGTTACTCTCGTTCCAACGAGAAAACAGTTTGAAAGCGTATGTGACGAAAAGTAGGATAAAAAGAAGAAAACTCGTTCAAGGTTTTGCCTTGTCCAACGATAAAGACTTTCTTTTTTTTTTCACTTTTAACCGAATTTCTAATTATACTGAGTTTTCGAGGATTCTCGACAATACAAGGAATTCCATTGAAAAGAAAGGTATACACGCATTTCTCCTATTTCGCGTAAACGGAAAAGGATTACTTTTGTTCGATTTCGTCGATTAATATTAAGATTGTTACAAAGGACGAGTTATAATAATTTTTCAAGTCTACTTCTATCGTTAAAAATTTTTTTATTATATACAAAACTAGTGGTTTTTTAACGACGAATTAATATTAATTTTTTACTGACATTTTTCATCACTTTAATTAGTAGCATCATAGTAATAATAATAAATAAGTAAACTCTTTAATTCTAACGTTAATTACTTTATACGTAATTTCAATATTAATATTTCGGATCAGAATTTTAATTTCGTCGAATTTTCTTGGCAAACGGTTCACCAATACATCGCTGGAAAATTCGACCTCCACCACGTCCTTGGACACGTTTGTAACTTACATTCGGCGAATCGATAATGGCGAACAGGCTTGCGGTCCGTTTGCATGTTATCGATTCGAGCTTGGCCAAGAAACCCATGAGGGTGGATTCTGCAATTTCATCGGTGTCCACGGAAATAAATACCTTACACGTTCGTGACAATTCCGTAACATAATTATTATACCTATTATACCAAGTTCCTTTCAAAAGAATTTACATTATCGTCCAACTTCGTTCTAACTTCGTTCGATGAAACAGATGAAAACAGGACGACAGAATCTCTCTATACAATCGTAGCAAATCGTCCATCGATAAGTCGAACCGGTTGTTTCGTTGCCTGAAATCGATCATCCTCCTCCCTCCTCTTTTTTTTTGCCACTCCCTTTTCATTCCACTTTCAATCGGGCATCTTTCTTCAGCCTCGATATCTATTCACCGTTCAACCGTATCGGTTTACCATTTTTTATCATTTAGCTAACCATTTACTATGGCCGATTTCATCGATACAAACATCGATACACACATTATATATATATATATATATATATATTTTCCATTACGTTGCACGGTGTTTTTTCCTCCCGGGGCAGTGACTGGGGCAGCGAAAAACAGAGACAAATTAATCGCTCGTCGTTCGTTTCGGTGTTAACGAAACAGAGAGGAGGGGAGGGAAGAAAGAGAGAAAGAAATATATTTTGTAATTCGTCAGGGCGAATCCCGGGTTAAAACGCAATTTCCTTTCTCTACAAACCGTTCAGATTCTGTTTTACATAATTGGAAACAAGAAATGGAGTTGTTCAACATGCGACTGTCTGTAATATCGATTCCTTTTTTCCCCGTTTAGCGAGAACGAAACGACGACGTCGACCCGACGGGACCCAAGCGCTCCAATTCCCCACGAGCTCTCCCCGATACTTCTCTCCCCTAGACTTAGTTATCATAAACGGACAACGGCGGCGCTAGTGTTTGCATAATATCTCGCGACCCTTTTATTCGCTGCTAAGGCCACTTTCTTTGATGAGATCTCGCGATACTTAATAACAAAGGAAGGGAAAGATCATCCGTGATCTCGATAAACAATTTCAATTTCCTGATAAAACGTGAATCGAGGGAGGGAAAAAGGGAAGATTGGATAAACAGGTTGAAACGATTTTTAAAACAAACTTTTAAAATCTTCTCTGGCTTGCATTATATCGGGCTCGTTTAATGTAATTATTCTTCGCTTCCAAGGATATTAATTAGATTATTGTCATCGTGATATTATGGATGTATCCGTTTAGATAGTTAACGATATAAACGAATAAAAATTGTGACAAGGACAAAGTTGAAGTTTTGTTATCAGATTGTTTCGTAAAAATATGGAAAGGAAAAATTGCAACAGATTTGAGGATTTTTCAGATTTATAAATACCTCTTTTCCTTTCCAATGAATATTTCGACATTAATCCGATTTCTTGATTAAAGTTCTTCAAAATTAGACAGATATTTCATCCTCGTCGCGCATATTTCACTTTTCAACAATTAATTATTTACAAAATAAAATTTTTCTCCCGAGGCAAAGAATCTCTGCACGGACGAAAACCCAAAATTTTCAATCAATCAAATATCTTTCTCCTTCTCCCTTTCTCCAAACAGCCAAAGAAATTCACCGAAATAATCAAGTATCAAGCTTCGCAGGATGGGTCAACTTTTAAGTCGAACGATGTTCAAACTAAGTCGAGTCGAGAGGGGGGCGGGGGGTCTAGTTTGTCGCCAATGTCTCAACCTTCCTCGGTCGAGAAAGGATTACAGGGAAAGAAGCTTCTGGGGATAGCGGGCGAGTGGCAGGTGTTTGACGAGGATAGGCCGCTTAGCAATTCAAATGACAGGAGAGAGGAGGCGAGAGTCTGCCTTGGCCGGGTCGCGTTCGTTAGCCGAGGCGATGGAAATAAGACGATAAAACGTCTGGGAGGGCGTTTCGTGCGTCGCGTAATGCCGACGATTACGAGCCATTTACGCTCCCGACGATTCTCGTTTCGGTGGTGGGTTAGGAATTAATTTTCAACCGCCACCTCTCCTCGCCACCCTCTTATTCCTTAATTTTTCTCCGTCTCGCATTAGTCGAAGGGCAACCACCGCGTAATTCCATTCACCTCCGCCTGAGAACCGGTTCCATTCCCCCGACTTTCCATTTTCTCCCCTTCGTCCTTTGTGCTCGCAGCGAGGAGATCTCTTTTTTCTTTTTTTCCTTTTTCCTTTTTTTTTTTCCCCTCCCCCTTTTTGTCTCGTCCGTCCTTCGATTTTCGGGGCTCGTACGCTCGTTTTCAATTTATCCCAGCCCGATCTAAATTCTTTGGCCGTTAGCCGATATTGGGCGATACGGTGATGTACGGTTAATCGCGTGATTCGATGGTGGTGAGATTGGATTATCGTTAGATTTCTTAGATCGAATTTTTGGAGAATTAGAAATAGGTTATATATAGAATATATTATTATTAGTATCATTAGTAGTTAGATTAGTTTTTTTTTTTATTACGTATAACGATATTTTATTATTCGTAATATTTTATACGCGTTATAATTATTTTTATCTTTTTGGAAGTTTCATTATTATATTTTTAACCGTCTATAATTTTCTAAATGTTCCAGATGGTTTTTAAAAAATCCGAAGAATCGAATTTTTAATATTATTAATTAAAAAGTGCGAAAGATTCCAGCTACACTTAATGAAGATATTGTAAGCGAGAATTAAAAAGAAAATCCGTGAATTTCTCAAATTTAAAAATTCATTATAATTGCGAAAAAGAACTTTTATAACTTGATAAATAATATTTAATATTTAATATTGAATTAAAATAATAATATTTGATGAAAAAATATTATTTGTAAATAGATTCTCCCATTTGTGGTTCTCACATTTCTGACAGATAAGAACAAATATTTATGGAATTAAATAATTGTTATTAAATCGTAATTAAATATTTATGTTTTATGATCGATGTTATTTCATGGGCCAGTGTAAATATAACGAAATGCAAATTCGTCCGTCATTCATGAATATATATTGAATGTATATCGTATAAAATATTGTATATATTTCAATATAAATGAATACATTTTTCACTCGTAAAATTTATTTCATCAATTCTGAACACGGAAAATTCTTAAAATTCTTAAAACTAATGTAATTTTATAATACATACTAAACATATTAAATTGCCTTTTTTCTTTCTCCTTCAATTTATCAAGTTTATCAATTGTCCGATGAATTAAATATTTATATATATTTAAATTATTTGTTTATATTATAACATATTTAATTCCAAGTTGTAATATCAAATTACATCAAAATTATTTACTCGTTTTGTTTCAACGTTTTATCAGGCATGATCAGTTTATTTGCAATTTGATTAAAATTTTTTTGCTTATAATACAAATTAGAATCTTATTTAAGAAGATATATAATAAGAAGACTGAATTAATCTTGCTCATCGTGCACGATACTTCATTTACAAATTCACAAATTCATTGATTCTCTCACAAAGAGAACGCATCCATCGTATTTTATATTATCCCTTTGTTACGTTATTCCATTAGTAAGCTCTCAATTTAAATAAATTAAAATATACTTAGAAATGATCATAGAAATCGATAGTCGATCCCCGAGATAAGATATTTCGCTTTGGATAATAAGATCTTTCGTCGTTCCATCTCTCTGTTTCAAGTCGAAATCCGGAGGAGATCGAGCGAAATCTTTGAGAGATCAAGGCTTTCGTTCCTCTCCTTTCACGCTCTACATTTCACCACCGATAAATCCTCAACAATAAAATGTTCGAACTTTCTATTCAACGATTTGTCTCGCGATTTCCATCGTCTATCGTGGCGAACTACTTTGGCTTGGTAAGTAATAAGTGTATTCTTACAATCAGGCATCAAGATTAATTTCTTGGTTGGCTTGGTCTATGTACAGAATTGTTTGCTGTTATTGATCGGCCCGAAAAACAACATGGTAAAGGTACTTACGTAAGCTTGGTATCCCTAAAATTAGGCCACGTTTTAATTGTTACTTCACTTGCGTCGAAACACTTGCATTTTATCCTATATGTTCGTGATACAAATTTACGTTCGTTTAAATCTTTGATTAACAAAAATATTGATTATCGACGCAATATGAAACGAATGTTATGCTACTTTAATAACATGAATTGAAAGCAGCATACTTTGCATTTAATCCAAGATTAATAGCTTTTTGTGTTTACTAAATCCACGTCATTAAATATTTGTAACTTTCTATTGTGCAGATGCGGTATCTCCATATAATGTATTATATATTAGATATATTATGTACAAGAGGTGTGCATGTTTTATGATCGTCAAGGGTAGATTATTCGGTTCCTCGAATTCAAACAAATGGTACCTTAATTAGAAATCGATATATATATATATATATATATTGATGATTATAAAATTTGATTTAAATTAATACATATTAAATAATAAATAACCCGTAACAAAATTGATTTCCCATAGTCTCATTTTCTATTCTCCAAGCTTCTTTTAAGTCGATAAATAAAACTTTAAAATTTAACATTAGTTAGCTTCGCGTGTATTTTATTATTAATTCACTCATCGTCTCGAAATATTTTAAACTTTGCCCGATACAGAGACAATTAAAACGCAAACTACGAAAGTTGGGGAAAATTTGGGGTAGACAGAAAATTTGAATAAAAATGTACAAAATGCAAACGAAATGTAGAAAGACAAGAGTATTTAAAACGAAGTATTCCAAACCTTGTTCCCTTTTTATTCCATATACGCGGTTGAATTTGCATAAATACCTTCAGCCTCGCCGTATAACGAATACACACACATACACATATATTTAATCTCAAAGATCCACCAACCTGTGACCGAGACAGTTTGTGCCTGCGATTCTGACGCGATCCCTCGACGGAAGGCGCGGTGGGCGCAAGGAAACGAGGATTACTCTCCACATTTTGGGGGTGTTGCAATTGTTGTTGAGGTTGATAATGGTGGTGAAGGTGATGGGATTGCTGTTGCGAGGGACCACCCCCCAGATGGTGCTCCCCCGTGTCCAGCATTTTGCTGCCCAGAGCGTCCAGCTGGGTCAACGACCTCGAACGCACCTGCAACCCATTAATTCTTTCTATAATATGCGTGTCATCGTTCAAATCATAATTCTGCAAAAACAAGCTTTTACTCCATCTTTATTTCCCCTCTCTTTTATCGATCCTCAAGGAACAACATTGATTCGATCACGCGTGATCTTAAAAAGAATACATATGATCTTTATTCTCCAATCTTTCACGACACGATAAATCAACCGGGACAGCTTTCTCCTAGTAAGACTCCTACATCCCCCTCCACATACATTCCTCCTATCTCTCTTATGGAAAAAAAGAAAAGAAAAAGAAGAAATCGCCGCTGTTCACCCGTCGAGGAGTAACGAGGCAAAAGTAGAACGCGGGAGCGTTCGAGTCGAAGTCGAGGCGGGAGTGGAAAAGGGTCGTGTGTGACCGGGCGAACAGGAAGAACGATATATTTGGTGTGTGTGTATATATATATATTTGAGAAAATGAAAATTGGGTCGACGACGTGATGGAATGTCGTCGAGTGTTGTACGACGAGTTAACAAGAGGAGGAGGAGATTGCATACAAATTGTTTAGTAATTAAAGGGTTTCGACGAGAGATCCCCCGTGAGACGATCCCGGGGTCGAAAAATAAATTCGAGGGGGATTTTCTGTAACTGGGTCACAGAGCAATCGACCGGTTTTACGAGGTTATCGATCGTCCCTCTCGAGGGCCTTCGTTATCTCGATCTGGCCGAAAGCATTCTTCCTTTATTCAACCCTTTCTTTCCTTTTTTTTTTTTTTATTCGCTTATCCACTCCTCGACTCGTCCGCAGCAGTCTTGACACCGATTTCTCCTCGATCGATCTGTTGTTTCGCGAAAAATTGGCCCACCTGGACGAGTCTTGGGTATCGCCCAAGAGAAACTGAACTATTCAGGAAGGTGTAATCATCGGGATGTTGTATGTCGGGTGTGTAATTTGCTGGAAAACGAATGGAACAGGAATGGAGCCAGTGTCTTATTCGACCTACAAGATACGAGGAATCCTTTCCAATTTTTCGTGATTTTAAACACGAGATTCTCTTCGCGGCGAGCGAAGAAGGAAGCTGTTAATGATTTGGCTGCATAACGATTCGATATTGGCCTCGTCTGGAACTGGTATTATGTGGAGTGTGCAGATATTTCGAGCGATAACGTCCATGCGTATAATCGATATTCGTGGAAACGCGTAACCAGCGATGATCATTTTGAAACGATACCCAAATAGATCCAAGTAATCGTGTTATTATTACGATCTAAAAATACATCCAATTTTTTTTGGATTCGATTTTTTGAATCGATATATGTATATTTATTGTTAATAAATGAAAATTCGAAAATTTAAATTATATTTAATCTTAAAATTGAATTCGAATCTAATTTGAATAATTTGAAATAAAATCGAGCGACGATGGGGGAGAGCGGAGTCTAGCTGTCCGTCGAGAAAGAACAATTCGAGGATACGTTGGATTATGTTGTGAAGGGGGGGATTATGTTGAAAGGAGAATAAAAAATGTGTATGAAAGGGGAGGAGGAAGAAATTGGAAGAAAAGTAGGGAAGGTATTCTCTATTAGGGGGAAACGAAGTGGTGAAACTGGAGTACATAAAACTTTGTTAAAGAGGTTGCACCGATTTTTCAGAGGAGAGAAAAACGATCGCGTCAGATTCGCCGATAAATTAATCGAAGATCAAGGAGGCGTTTTAGTCGCTGTCCGTGCCTGCGCGCTTTCCTATAAATCAAGTCGCCCGAGCGCGCATTTTTCAACGGTGAAAAATTTCCACTGTTCACATTTTTGCCATTTCCCATTCACACGTGTACTCAGAAAGAGTGGCGCGCTTCGAGATGCATAGCAAAATATGGAATATGAATAATTCCAAGTAGAAAAGTAAAAAAGGGGGAACGATTCCAATACTCTTCTATCTGAAATCACGTCTATCGTTGTTTCGTTGTTAATTGGATAAAAATTTTCTCATATGATTTCGCGACGTGTGGGATTCCAAAAATTCTGGCACCTATTTTTCAGCTTTCAGGAAAAATTCAGGCCAGAATATATCACACGAATTGGGCCAAGTAATTTGAAAAGATTGGGGAGAAACATCAGCGATTTTCAAAGAAGAAACATCCGTGTTCTCCATATTTATTTCTTGTTCATCTTACGCGTGCAAATTAACCGTCGATATTCTGGGGGAGAGTATTAATGAATTTTCGCACGAACGAGTCCGAGAACTTTGCACGAAAAATTGTGCGCGTCTCTGATAAAGTGTCGCGCGAGTCTCTGAATTTTTCATACTGTAATTAAAAAAAAAAAAAGAAAAGAAGAAGAAGAAGAAGAAAAAAGGATGAAAGGAAAGGAGTGAGAAAGAATACCGTTTTGGCGGGTATAATAATCAGAATACCCTCTGGCAGAGATATTTTTCAGAATAAGAAGAATAGAAAGAAACAAAAGATAGTGGATCAGGAGACAGGATAAATCTTTCATCTTTCACGGGATTTTATCCCGAAATGAAACGTGTAAAAAGTTATCTAAACAGTGATGTGAACGTTTTTGCGAACGTGTCACTTTCTTTCAGATTATATTCCCCTAATATATCGAGGACGAAAAATTTGTATTCCTAGAAATTGTTAATTTTTAATCTCAAAAATATGTATATGTAAATGTCTTTACAATTTATGAAATCTTTTTATACAGAAGAGGATATAAAACAAGATTGCAGTTAAGTTTCTTAATTTCAAAGGATTCGAGAATAATATCCAGAAGGGACTGTTTAATTATATCGCGTGGAATAATAAAAAACTTCGTTATCCAGAATATCACTTTTCTTTCTCCAGTAATAAAAAAAAAGTGGATAAAAAGTTGAACGATCTCGAGGGGGGAATATTTTGATATCGTCTTTTTTCCCATAGTCCTTTTCAATTCACTTCGTACTTTTAAAAATTCTATTCAGAGTTCATAACGAATGATATTGGATGGATAATTCTTCTAGATCGTAAAAATCTTCTTTACGATATTTATAGATACGATATATTTACGAAAAGTGTATAATATACGATCATATAAAAATATATTTAGTAAAATAATCCAGTGTATGGATTGGCGCGCACATATTCGCAAAGCGTTTTATAAAAACACCAATGGTAATTCAATATCGAACGAATCCCTGAGTGAAAAATAAGATACGCAGTTCTCGATGTCCACCTGTATATGTCGATGGAATACACATTTTGCGCAAGCAGAAATATTGAAACAAGCCAGTTTTTTACGGTTTTGTTTTCAATTCGTTTGCTTACCCCCTTTTTTTTTTTTACATTTCTTTTAGTTTATTCGTTCATTTTTTACTCGTTTGTTTACAATATGGCTTTATCGATTCGTGTCTCTGTGGTCTCTTTTGATTTCATTTCATGTCTTTCATGCATACGAAATAAATTTGTATAAATAAATGGATTTACTTCAAATTATTGGAAAATGGGCAGTAGATTCAACTAGAAATTTTGCATCAACAAATAATTCTACATATGAATATTTAACGAATATTTAATGACCGGGAACGAATAAATTGGATTTAAATTGGGTGAAATTTTTTTTCCCTCTTTTTCTCTCTCTTTTGCGATTGACATTTCGACGCGAAATATTCTTCTCCAGAGTTCACTCGGGGCTAGAATAATATCCGTATATACCAAACATTTGTCCGCATGTGTTTCGAAGACAATATCAGTTTATACATTTATTAATTCTTGGATCGATGCGTCACATTCTTTCACGAATTTTCCCCTAAACAAAAACCAAACTATTTTATTATATAAATAAAAAAACAATCTTCGAAAACTGGAAAATGTTTTAAATTTTCTGAAGAATGAAATTTTGAAAGGCTAATCCAATCGATAACAGAATAAACGTGACACAAATTTTTCTTCCCTCATTACATATTCTTACGAAAAAAAAGAGAGAGAGAGAGAGAGAGAGAGAGAGAGAGAGAGAGAGAGAAGAA